CCTACTATAAAGGACAACAGAGTGAGCATGAAATTCTTTGTGGTCTGCACCATTTCCTACATCGATTATGACATTATACTCAAACTCTGAACCAAGCAACGAACCGAAATTGTTTGATAAATCTTCATAAAATGAAGTACACATGTATTTTAATATTTTTTATTTTTTTAACAAAATGAAAAAAAAAAAAAATGTCGTTTGACGAAAAAGCTAACTATTTAAATTTACTATGAAAACGCTTTGCCAAATAAAGCAAATGATCGGCTGCACTTAAAAAAATGAAGCACTAAAGGTTTAAATTTCAAATTGTATTTATGAAGAATTTACTTTATTAGAAAATCTTTTCAAATAGCTGATAATTAAATAATGATATTTTTTTTATTCACGAGGATCTAATTAATAAAATTTTAACGCGAGTATTCTTTCTTATTGTTAAACAGTATTATATATAGTAAAACTTTCACTAAGTGTAGAACAAGGCATGTTATCATCACCTTTGCCCAAAATTTTAAACGTAAATTTATCAGGTAATTTAGTATTTGAAGGAACTCTAAGTCTGAATTTTCCCGAAACTTTACCATCTTTTTCGGTAAGTTTAATCTCTTCCCAGAATGATTCAACAAAATTTCCATTTTCATTATATAAGTCAAGGCCATTTACTTCTGTATACGAGTTTGTTTCCCAAACTACTTCAATCTTTTGATGATTTATCTTTTCGTCACCAGCTTTAGGAGAAATGAATTTAATTCCTGTGAACGGGAAAGAAGGAAAAGATTTATTAAAAATTTATATATATTTTGATTTTTACAAAAAAAAACAAAAAATAATAATAAACTTACCACCACATATAGGATAATCAGATGGCATATCTGTATAATAAATAAAGGAAATAGGTCGAAAAGATCAATTTTAAAATGAATAAAAAAATCAATTTAAAAAAGAAAGAAAAAAAAGAAAAGAAAAAAGTAAAGGTTACCTCGTTTTTGAATAGCTAGAGCTGTTACTTCATTGAACAATGCGAATAAGGAGAATAATAAAAGAATTGAAATAAATGAATTGAATTTGATGACGGTATTCATTTTGTAATATATTGTTTTTTTTTTGTTGGTGGAAAGTTCTAAAGTTGTTTTTTATTTATTTATTTTTTTGTTGTTAGAAAGATAACGGTGGAAAGTTCTTATATTTATAAAGTTTTCGTTTCTAATGAATAGATTATCATTCTTCGTTCAGCAAAATAAAGAAATAAAGATACAATCATCTAAACTATTTGCGAGTATAAAATCATAATATTTTCTTGTTCTTAGTACTTAAAAGATTTACAAAAATTTATAAAAAAAAAAAAATTACTTTCTTTTTTATATTTATTTGTTATGATTCTAATTATTTTTAATACGACCAGAATTAATTAATGTAAAATTTTTCTTTGTTATTAAGTTCTTTTGTAATGACCCGGATTTAATTCTTTTTGTTATAAACTGAAATTGATTTTCGTCTGAAATTGGAATTTCAAATGAAAATCAACAACAATTACCAAATCGGCTAACGCAAAAAACTACAAATTTTTAGTGATCTTCTTAAAAAACACCCGAATATAATCAAGGATTAGAACTTGACATTCCTTCCATATTATGATTATGGTAGAAAAAGACCCAAATAATTTTATCACAAAATAAGTGCGGGATCAACTCAAGAAAAGGATTGTG